AGAAGATTCACGAACCCTTTACGAATTTCCGATCTACATCAAATGATCGCGATACACGCTCCGAAGTCCCGATCTGAATCAAAAGTTTTGCGAACCCGCTCCAAAGTTCCGATTTAAATAAAATGATTCGCAAAACGTGCTCCGAAGTCCTGATCTGAATCCCCCCGAGCTGAGCCGAGCCGCCAAATCCGTCATCTCCGTCAGCACCAAACTCCACGAAATGATCGACTCGCTTCTGAGAGCCGAGGACAGCATGATCCGTCAGATCGAAGATGCTGAATCCAGACACCAGGAGCAGAAGAGGCTGCTGGACAACCTGCGGGCAAACCTCAGAGAGGCTCGGAGAGCCAAAGAACTGAGTCCGAAGTACAGGAAAGAGGCTGGAAATCTCCTCAATGAGGCCGCATTGCTCTCTGGAATCACACCGTGAACTGACTTTGTCTCTTAATGTGAGCTAATAGCAAATGTGAAGGATTTTATAATGTTAAACCATGAACAGACGCAGAGGCGGACAGTAGTGAAGTATTTTTACTCTGTGTCTGTACTTCATCAGAGTGTTTTTCTTTAGAAAACTTTACTGCACAACATTCCTAAGCATAATATTGTACGTTTACTGCACTACGTTTCAGATTAAATGTCATGTAATGCTTAATCACATTAGAAATCTGTTACTTTCTTACTTGTACTCAAGTAAAAGTAATTCAAAGATTTACTTGAGTACAAGAAAGTACTTCATTTTTAATGTTCTTAAGTATTAAAGGTAAAACAAACAACAGCTTTTATTTATGAAATGAAGTGCAGTAAAAAGTATGACATTATGCTTCGGAATGAAGTGAAGTAAAGTTTTCCAAAGAAAAACACTACAGATACTTTTTTAATTTACTTGAGTGAATTCAAAATACTTCACTACTCTCCGCCTCTGAACAGAAGACGTTATTTTATTCCAAAAGTGGGAAATTGCAGTGTTGCAGCAGCAAATATATACAGTAGATAAACACAATAGCAGTACAAATATACATAAAATAATATTAGAATTATATTATAAAAAACATAACGTGTATGTAAAGTACATAAAACCTGACCAGAGCTGTAGCGCTAGTAATAAATAATATGTCTTGGCTAATGAAGGACTATGATCTGTTTTCAGTATTTAAACATTATTAAAGATCTATATTTGTCCAGTATCATCTGATTTAAAATATAAATGACTTAATAAGACTTAATAAGAAAAAATGTCATTTTAACTAATTTTAGTGTCTTGATGATATTAAAACACCCGTTTGAGAACGAATAGTTTAACATTGGAAAGCATAATGAAGGGATTTGTTATTATTTGTGTCCTTTGGTGTATTTACTTATGTGTATTTTAGTATTTTAGTTTATGAAAGCACTTGCATATGTCAGAATCAGTCCTCCTAATGTGAAAATGAGTGTGAATATGAATACTGATCTTAAATCTTGAACACTTTGCCTTTGTAACATTTTTTTCTACTGGTTTATATTTTGCAAATTGAATAATTGAATTATTTTAGAATGATTGCACCTGTTCATTAACCTTTTCATTAATTATTTTCTAAATGTTTAAAGTGTATTATTTTGTAGATACGTTTTGTTTTAGCACATAAGATATAAAAGTTAAATATGGTATGTTGATGATTATTTTAAAATTTACTGCAACTAAATCAAACCCGCTCCGAAGTCCTAATCTGAATCAGAAGATTCACGAACCCTTTACGAATTTCCGATCTACATCAAATGATCGCGATACACGCTCCGAAGTCCCGATCTGAATCAAAAGTTTTGCGAACCCGCTCCAAAGTTCCGATTTAAATAAAATGATTCGCAAAACGTGCTCCGAAGTCCTGATCTGAATCAAATGATTTGTGAAATGCTTTCTGAAGTCCGGATCAGAATTATGATTCGCGAGCCCACTCCGAAGCCCCGATCTGAATGATTCACGAACCCGCTTTGAAGCCCGATCTGAATGATTCGTGAACTCGCTCCGAAACCACGATCTGAATGATTCGTGAACCCGCTCCGAAGTCCTAATCTCAAATCAGAAGATTCACGAACCCTTTCCGAATTTCCGATCTACATCAAATGATCGTGATACGCACGCCGAAGTCCTGATCTGAATCAAATGATTTGTGAAATGTTCTCCGAAGTCTGGATCAGAATAATGATTCGCGAACCCGCTTTGAAGCCCTGATCTGAATGATTTGCAAACCCGCTCCGAAGTCCCAATCTGAATGATTCGCTAACCCGCTTCAAAGCCCTATCTGAATGATTCGCGAACCCGCTTTGAAGCCCTGATCTGAATGATTCGCGAACCTGCTTCTAAGCCCCGATCTGAATGATTCTCGAACCTGCTTCGAAGCCCTGATCTGAATAATTCGTGAACCCACTTCAAAGCCCCAATCTGAATGATTCGCGAACCCGCTTTGAAGCCCTGATCTGAATGATTCGCGAACCCGCTTCAAAGCCCCGATCTGAATGATTCGCGAACCCGCTTTGAAGCCCTGATCTGAATGATTCGCGAACCTGCTTCGAAGCCCCGATCTGAATGATTCTCGAACCTGCTTCGAAGCCCTGATCTGAATGATTCGCGAACCCGCTTCAAAGCCCCGATCTGAATGATTCGCGAACCCGCTTTGAAGCCCTGATCTGAATGATTCGCGAACCTGCTTCGAAGCCCCGATCTGAATGATTCTCGAACCTGCTTCGAAGCCCTGATCTGAATGATTCGTGAACCCGCTTTGAAGCCCGATCTGAATGATCCGCGAACCTGCTTCGAAGCCCTGATCTGAATGATTCGTGAACCTGCTTCAAAGCCCGATCTGAATGATTCGCGAACCCGCTGCGAAGTCCAAATCTGAATCAGAAGATTTACGGACCCTTTCAGAAGATTTACGGACCCTTTCAGAATTTCCGATCTACATCAAATGATTGCGATGCACACTCCGAAGTCCTGATCTGAATCAAAAGTTTCACGAACCCACTCTGAATCAAATGATTCATGCTCCGAAGTCCCGATCTGAAACAAAAGATGTACGAACCCGCTCCAAAGTTCCGGTTTAAATAAAATGATTTGCGATACACGCTCCGAAGAACTGATCTGAATCAAATGATTCATGAAATGCTCTCAGAAGTCTGGATCAGCATAAAGATTTGTGAACCCACTCCAAAGCCCTGATCTGAATGATTCGTGAACCCGCTTCGAAGCCCCGATCTGAATGATTCGCGTACCCTCTTTGAAACCCGATCTGAATGATTCGCGAACTCACTCCTAAGCCACGATCTGAATGATTCGACAACCCGCTCCGAAGTCCCAATCTGAATCAGAAGATTCACGAACCCTTTCCGAATTTCCAATCTACATCAAATGATCGCAATACGCACTCTGAATCAAAAGTTTCGCGAACCCACTCTGAATCAAATGATTCGCGCTCCGAAGTCCCGATCTGAAACAAAAGATGTACGAACCCGCTCCAAAGTTCCAATTTAAATAAAATGATTTGCGATATGCGCTCCGAAGACCTGATCTGAATCAAATGATTCATGAAACACTCTCCGAAGTCCGGATCAGAATAATGATTTGTGAACCCACTCCGAAACCCCGATCTGAATGATTCGTGAACCCGCTCCGAAACCCCGATCTGAATGATTCGTGAACCCGCTCCAAAACACCGATCTGAATGATTCGTGAACCCGCTCCGAAACCCCGATCTGAATGATTCGTGAACCCGCTCCGAAACCCCGATCTGAATGATTCGTGAACCCGCTTCGAAACCCCGATCTGAATGATTCGTGAATCCGCTCCCAAACCCCGATCTGAGTGATTCACAAATATTCGCTCCGAAGTTCCGATCTAAATCAAATGATTGGCAACACGCTTTGAAGTTCCGATCTTAATCATATAATTCGCGATATGCGCTCCGAAGACCTGATCTGAATCAAATGATTTGTGAAACACTCTCCGAAGTCCGGATCAGAATAATGATTCGCGAACCCGCTCCAAAACCCCGATCTGAATGATTCGTGAACCCACTTCGAAACTCCGATCTGAATGATTCGTGAACCCACTTCGAAACCCCGATCTGAATGATTCGTGAACCTGCTCCGAAACCCCAATCTGAATGATTCACAAATATTCGCTCCGAAGTCCGGATCTGAATCAAATTATCTGTGAAATGCTCGATTCGCAAACCCACTCTGAATCTAATGATTCACGCTCCGAAGTCCAGATCTGAATCAAATGATTCACGAACCCGCTCCAAGGTTCCGATCACGTGCATACCCTGCATACGCTACACCCCTGACCATAGTATTATTTGTAAGGAGCTGCAATGCTATTTTTGTAATTATTTGTATACATTTTCAACCGTCGTTTGACTTATAGGTAGGCTATGCATTTTTAGTTTTTCAAATATTTCAAAATTAAATGTATGTACTTATATAATCTAATTTAGCACACAATCCCGTCATGAATTACGCATGACACATTACTGAATACATTTAACAGTAGTTACAACCATAGACATAATAAATACCTAGACTCCTCATTGGCCGCTCCACCGCACGTCAACGTCGTCAGGATTAGGGATGGAGCTAAATCATCTCTCTTTAATTTCACTAACCTTACTTATTTACAAAGAGTAAGTTTATCATCACTTGATTATAAGGATTTCATAGCTTATCATAAATCTGTGGATTTATTATATATTTTTTTTTTTCCTTTTTAGCCAATTGCAAACAGGACCACGCAAGCGTTAAGGAAAGCTGAAGAAAGCCTGTCCAGACGTATCGCAGCAACGGCTCAAAGCGGCCAATGAGGAGTCTAGGTATTTATATGTCTATGGTTACAACAGACACAGTCTACCTCGCTAGTGGAAACCGTGAAGTCCCGCCTACGGGGCCATTTGATTGGCTGCTATTTGTGGACGCGACTGTGGGTTTTATATCCTCCTCCGCCACTGGCCCGTGCCGCTGTCAATCAGAAATCCTAACTCGCTCCATGTTAGACTGAAGTGTGTGAAAGTACTGTTGAAGGACTCGCGTGTGTTCAGTTATTTCAGCTCGTTAATGGACTAACCGAGACGAGCGGGGGAAAAGCCGTGCGTATAGCATGATAAGTGAGTATATGTTTTAAAAAAATCCTTTATATGAGTTCTACATGAGTCTCGTGTACATTCGCCGATGGCGTGGCGGTTCATCTCATGTGACTATTAAACAAACTGAGCTTATAAAGCATCTCTGATTATTAAACTCATTCATGTGTGTCTTTGCAAACTTCATATGAGGGAGAACAGATTTGGACATGTTAGATGAGAAGGGTTGGTGAAGGACAGACTCTGCTCTTGCTGTTTTAAGCAGTTGACAAGGCAGTTGTGCTCGAGCTGTCATTGCTCAAGTGTGCGTGCGGTTGCATGTACATGTATATATGTGTGTGTTTCTGTGTGTACGAATGTGCATGGGTTTGTACGAGTATGTGTGTGTTTAAATTATTTTTTGTCTGTATTTATGCATGCATGCATGCTTATTTGTTTATGCATAGTGTTTGTTTGTGTGCTTGTGTACACGCACAAAAGTGCATGGGTTTGAGTGCTTGATGTGTGTGCATGCTCATGCATGGTTTTCTGTGTAACATGCTTGAGTGTAAATATTCATGCACGCAGTGTTATTTGTATTTAGAGTTTGAGTGCTTATTTGTAGTCAAAGTGTGTGGATGCATGGATGTTTGTTGGCCTTATGCGTTCTTGAGTGTTTGTGCATGCAGCAAGTGTCTTAAGTTGTGTAATGCGAGTTGCACACACACATCAGTCACGGTTCACCTTCCTTCCAGTCACTGCATGACAGATGATCAGCCTGTTTTTAAAGGAGCAAGATTATAAAATGAAATGACCTCTGTTATGAGAGAAGCCACTCGTGAAGAGATAAGAGTCCTGCACAACGAGCAGAAAATCACAGTTGTCCGCTCGTTATCTGACAGCCGATTAGATGCATGCAGATGTGGCTGGTGTCCCTCTGGCACGTGAAGACCACAGCTGTTCAGATATTTTTATATGGCATGTTTTGTAGATGTGAGCTGATGAACATCACACATAGGTTCCAGTGACAGTTTCTCGTCTCAGGCTCAGATTGCAGGGCCACAGTCTGGTTATTGACCGTCGGATGCATCTGTGCACAGAAACGAGCTGGTTGCAATCACCATATTTGGTCAAATTTGCAAGGTTAGTGTCATTTAAGATGCCAAGAGGCACTTGGTAGCAAGTAAGCTAGATATCTACAATCTAAGTAAGAGTAAATAATATTAGGGCTGGGTTGACAGTATTGATTTCTCTTTTTTGATCTGTCTTCGTTTTAATGAACTGATATCGATTCTTAAAGGGGTGGTTGACTGTTTTTTTTCTATGCTTGATTGTGTTTATGGGGTGCAGTCTAACATGTGTTAATGCTTAGTTTTTTAAAAAACGCATAATTTTTCACATAATTTACCTTTATTCCACACCACTCTGTCCCTTCTCTGAGAAACGGGCTGATCTTTTCCTGTTTTTAAGAAGCCCCGCCCTCAGAAATAGGCAATGTTGTGATTGGCTAAACCGCCTCTAGTGTGCGTCTAAACATCCCGCCCCTCACCTCAGCGGCATGTTCTCTGGTTGTATTGTAAACAACGGCGTCGTTAATATCGCTTATCAGTTTGAGCCTGATTGAGAAGCAGAGGATATTATTGAAGAGGATCGTGCAGAACCTGTGCAAGCATGGCTTTTAATGGTAGGCCTGTGTTTTTTGTTTGTTGTTGTCTCATTCTTCTACATATGCTGTTGTGTGTAAATGCTTCTGCTTATGTTAGCTTTTAATATACGGTTTTATCCTGATTAAAGCTTTAATACAGTACGGCAACTGCACGCACGTCCATGTATAACACTTCTCATAGCTATGTGAAAATAAGTGTATAATTGTAACAGTTCATTTTTGGAGCTGAGCTGAATGAGAGCGAAAGAGAGAGAAGCGAGGAACAGTATTAAGAACCGCTGCTTTTGAACATTGATTTTGAAACTTGTGAATCCATTAGAATCGTTAGAAGACAGAATCGTGATTCATATATGAACAGATTTTTACCTGCACCTCTAGTTTTCTCTTCCTCTTCTCTAAAGCAGCGCAGCATGGCCTCGCCCCC